ATATTATCGTTTATCGCAATAATTTTTTTAGACAATTAATCGTCCAGCAAAATTTGTTATCGTGACAGGCCTACTTGAGGAGTTCCTCAAGAGTTTGTTTTAGGCCCTGACCAGTTCTTGCTGTACATTCTGCTTTTAAATCCTCAATAACCACAAGATTTATTTTCATTCTTATATAAATTACATATTAGCATAGCTGCCATTGGAAAAAGCACAAGATCTTTGTGCTTTTTGCAGTACAAAGATCTTGTAATCTCAAAATGCAACATTTCTCCTCAAGAGAAGTTTGTCTTGCAAAATACTACCTAGCTGCCTTTTATCATGTCACTTTGTCTGGTTAAACATGTAAGCTGTTATTAATAGCCCCAGATATGAAGGTATGCACTTTAAACCGTGTGTATCGATGTCTGACTCTTGATTTTCCTGGATTAGTCTTTATTGGTTGACAGAGTCGACTAATCCCAGCTGCTCATCAGGACGCCTGGCAGTATGAAAGCAAGGCAGAAGATGGAGCACAACAATGGAAAAAGAAGCTGACTTTTGTTAAGCTGTTTGTGCAGCAGCATTTTATGCTAATGGCAGAAAAAACAAATGGTGACAGAGGTAGAAAATATGTAAATAAAATGTTAATGGAGTGATTTGACCTTCATATCCACAAAGAGCTAAAGGGCTAGTTCACCAAACACAGAATCACGACCTTACTTATTAAGTGCATTTCGAATTTAAAATATAAATAAATATTATAATGTTAAATAATAATAGAAAAATATTTGCGCTGATCAGTCCTGATCTGGATGATTCTACAATCAACAGAGATTTATAGTGGCCCAGAAGGGTCAACAAAACGCAAACAACAAAAACCAAAATGGAAGTTATGATACATTTTTTAGCTTAACTTTTGCTTTAGCATAACCATCACTCTAAAACAAAGAGTAGAAATATTTGTAGTATTACATTACTACTACTAGCAGACACTAACTAGGCTCTCACCTGTTTCCAGCAGGCTCCAGGTTTCTTTCTAAGACTGGACTCTTTGGACCTCTTAATGCTCCTTCTTCATCTAAACAGTTCTGTGAGCTCTCTGCCCAAGGAAAAGGGTCATCGCTCTGCAGGATGCCTGCCTCCATCTCCCCTCTGCCTCCTGGTAAGCCTGAACACAGTGCAGCCGAGGCGCTCCTGATGGACGGAGGCGAAACAAGAGAGGCAGTCCTCCAGGCAGGGGACCGGTCAGAGCTAGGAGAGCAACAGACTGGTAACTCTGGAAGGCAGGAAGGGGCTGAGAGGCAGACACAAGAACAAGTCAGAAAAACAGGAGAAAAAATATATCAGTGGGTTGGGAATTCTCTAAGTTGGTAGGAAAGAAGGGCGACGGGCAGACAGACAGACTTACCCTGAGGTGAGCTGTGGTCCAGACTCAGGCTACTTCCTGATCTGTAAACCATGGAGAACAGGGAGTCATGATTCTTAAACCCCTACAGATGCAGCATGTCTGCATCTGTAGACATGCAGCATCTGTATATCTACATACAGATGGTTGACAGTAAACGCATCAGATGTTTACTGTCAACCAAGACCAAAAATCAATCAGACTAGAATTCTTATAGTCTTCAGGAAGTCAGAGATTTAGCTGCAAAAATCCTGTAACTACTGCACCAAAGGTCCAGAGACTGACAGAATTCTGCTGTCTATAAACTCTACTGCTTCAGTTCTTATGCTGGCAGTTTATACAGAATAAATCTAACATGGAATCACATGAGAATATTTGCTTAAAAATATAATAAACATCAATGAATGTGTACCTCCAAGGACATAAGTGTGATCTAGTCATGTTCCGTTTACCATTGCAATATCATGTTGACAGTGAAGCTACCAGAGATCATTCAGGTATGGGGATCACTCACTACTTTGCCTGAAAGAACTGCTGTAAATAAAGAGCTGGGTTAAAATTCTCCAGCTTCAACATTTGACCCCCAAAATGTGTGCAGAGTCACTCAGAAGTGTCTCAAAGTAAAACCAACAGAGAGACTCTGATCCAGAAGCTGATATCCTGAGAAGTCAGTGCTGTCAATACAAACACTTTCAATGAAGTTAATGAATTTCTCAACTAAAAATGTTTTAAGTTGCTAAAGTTTTGTATTAACAAACCGATAAGACAGCACTTAAACAGGAATGTGTGTGACGAACAAAATGCGTTTCATTTTTTAAAACTTTTGGCCATGACTGCAGATTGTGAGTGTGGTGCACCACCTGTTTGTGTTGCTAAGGTGATGCCTGGAAGGTGAAGGCAGGCGTTGGCGCAGCTCCTCGTTTACTTTGGGATTAACTAAGAAGAAAATACGAGAAAAAACTCACAGGTTAAAGACAAACCGACAAACTGCACAGCTCCTAAAATCTGCTGTTTAAAATATCACTTCAGATTAGTTGTTATGATGAATATTTTTTTACCTACAGTAAAAAATAAATAAATAAATAAACATTGTTTAATATTTCTGTTTATATACATACGAGACATTTTTTCTGGAGGCTAAAGCTAACGGCTACACGGTGCCGGGCCTCAGTTCATGAAGATATCAGTTCAAGAAAACACTATTTTACAAACTTTTCAGTTCTTTTATTTTTTCATTAAAACAACAGATTTGAGGTGCATTATGTCCTGCAGTAGAGGTTTCATATGAGGGAGCCACTGTTAGCCATCTTTATGGTAGTCAGTCTGTTTTAACACTGTTAGTTGGAAAACTAACATGAAGTTAAACAAGCGATTATCTAGAGCTACTAAGATACTGACTGCTCAAAACATATAGAAATGCTTTAAATAAATGTTCTGCTTACATCGTCTTTTGTCAGTCACATTACTTAAAGAGCCTGTCTAGATGTGCTTCTGAATAGAGGAAATAGTTTCTGAGCTAAAAATCATTTCTAAATTAAATTATGACCCTAAAGATCAGAATCGAATCGCGTCTCTAATGCCTGGTTTGGAATCGTCTCTTGATAATCTCAGAGTTAAAATAATGATCTACAGATCCAGATGCTGTTTTTATAATCTATCCACACTCAGTACAGAGATGCTAAAATGGATCATTTTTGTCAGTGTGCTCAAAATAACAGAAGAACTCTGCTTTTACAGGGACTCTTCACACACTCAGAAGCGCGATTGACTGGAAGACTAGAAAAATAATATTTCCACTTCTCTTCTTATTCATTATATCAGGCTCTGAGTCAGACCTGGTAACACCATCAAAGCATTTCTAAAGCCAGAGATCGTCGATCGATCACAAAATTCTGATCATCATCTTTCTAGAAACAATAATAACTGGCTGATATTAAACAGTACCACTCACTTATTATATCTGACTTTTTATTCCTAAATTTTCAGATGAAAAACATGTCAGAAAATGTATGAAATTTTTAGAGTATACCTCATAAACATCGTTTTGGGCCCACCATGAAAATATGACTGACAGCTGAATCACTCAGGTTTACCAAAACAAACCCCAAAGCTGGGGCTCCGGCTGAGCAGCAGCCGAATTGCAGTTAAAAAGACGTCTTTTCTTCATCACTTTGAAACTTTTCTAATTTCCTGCCATCCTCTGCCTCCCCATGCTTCTGATCTTTTTGTGGACTCAGAGCTAATTGATCGCTGCAGTTCTCCTTATTATTCATGTACAATTACAGATGTGATAATGTGCTTAAATCCTTCTAAATGACCGTTCATGCCTCGCAATCGCTTTGAAGTCTCGTCCAAGTTCAAAAAATCTGCAGAAAAAAGGGAAAACACAAAGGCCAATCAGAGAGGCAATCTGCATAAACCAATCAGAGGAGAAGGGGGAAGACAAGGGGAGCTGTGCGTCCCCCTGCCTCCGCCCTTTATTTTTACGGAATATCAACTAAAGTCCATTAATTTTTTAAGCTGTATTTAATACATTTTGTTCTGAAAGTTTGGAGCTGTGAGTGCCGGGTGTTCCAGCTGACTGCATGAATATTAATGATGGTGTTACGATGATTAAAGAGGCTTCAAGTCAAATCCAACACAATCCGCCTGTGATCCGGCCCGCCGTCACCACACTGCCACCACGCCGCACATGAATTTAGATATGGACATTAAGCCAAGGATAGAGACGACACACACAGGATCCTCACCCCTCCTTCCACTGATACCCCCCGCCCCCTGCACCACATACACGTATGCTGAAGAGAGAACATACAGTAAGTATGATTCACAACATGGATCCTGTCATGAATACCACAGCTTCAGACCCGAGGTTCGTCCTGTTATCCTGACAACCAAACAACACAACCACTAGGCTTCACTTTCCATAGATAGGTTACTGAGACCAAGCAGTTATATATTTTCAGTTACATACAACCATTTAAATGTTTCTCCACTGAATGCATGAGGTTCTATAAACCAATCAATCTCCTGCTGGCTTGTTAGCAGCTGCATGATTCTTAGAACTCTTCAGTCATGGTTGGATTCCAGCTTCAAATATACAATCCTGATCCAAAGTTTAGCACTTATAATTATTCACACTTTAAAAGAAGCAGAATTATGCATTTTCCAGGCACATAGTGGCATTTATAGCACAATCAAGTAATTATGTTACCTTCAATTGTTCTAAAAATGTTGTATATATCGAATATGACTTTGTAGTTTAACGTTTTGAAAATGGGCCTCTGTCTCTTTAAAAACAGCTGCTCTTTCTGAAACTCCACCTTCAGGAAGTCATCACAATATGGCTCCTCTGTTAACCCTTTAACAATATCTCAGAAGTAGCTTCTATAATGAGCTTAGCAGGACGGGGGTTCCACCAGGTGTTTGCCAATTGCTGCTGGCTAGTCTGAAGGAGCTAAGTGAGGGAGTCAGGGGGGAGGGCTGCTCTGTGGGAGAACCTTGGAAACTGCAGCTGTGAAGAGGAGCTGCGCCTTGAAGGCGGGGCTACATCCAACCAGGCATTTTGCACAGCTGAATGGTTGCCATGGGAATTAAATTATTTCTCAAACAAGCTTGAAAGAATCAGAGCAATATTTCAGGTATGTTTTTGATGACATAACATTATAAAACGATATAAAGGTCAAAAAAGTCAATTTTAAATGATACTGCCCCTTTAAAGTAGGTTCTACTTTGAACTTTAAAATCCAATGGTCATGTGTTTTTTTCTTTAGTCGCATTGATTACTGTAACGGTGTAGTCACAACTCTGACTAAAATAAAAAAATAAATGTAAAAATTAGACAGTTTTAGCTGATCCAGAACGCTGCTGCTGGTGTTCTGACTGAAACAAGGAGGATAGAGAGCTTCACCCAGTTCTACAGTCCTTCACTGAGAGAGTAACTATAAAATACTGATGTTAGTTTATAAATCACTGAACAGTTTAGCTGTTCTGCAGTTGTCATATCAGCCTTCCAGACCCTCTCAGGTCTTCTGGTTCTGGTTCTGCTCTGCATCCAGAACCAGAACCAAACATGAGGAAGAAGCATTCAGCTTCTATGCACCACAAATCTGGAACAAACTTCCTCAAAACAGCCAAAACACCTTTAAATCAGGATCACCTATTTAGAGTTGCTTTTATTCTTAATAGCTAGAACAGTGGTTCTTAACCTTTTTTGAGCTACCGAATCCCCCAGTTTCATATGCGCATTCACCGAGCCCCCCCCCACACACACACACACACGCAGCTGTATTTTGAAGCTGTGCTTTCATCCTGGTTATGATCCAGCATCATGAAATCTATATGCTACCATTTCTTCCTCAGTCTCAGTCTGAGCTTTTTGCTCTTTTTACTTAAAGATAAATCTTTATGACATTTTAAAAATAAGTCATATTTACAATAAAAATGACTTTGTGCAACCTGTTTTGTTCACTTCATGTTTAAACAACTTCAGCACCCGATAAAAATTTTAACAGAAAACGCTGAAATCCACAGTGTATTTTTCCAATGTCAATGTATATTAAAAACAATAAGACTCTACAAATGCGCCAGCCACCTGAGTGGAAAAAGACACAGCTAAACCTGTGATGCATTTCGATAAGGTCAGAAACGAAGGAAATTCTTCGGTGAGAATGTTTGTTTGCGCTTCAGATTCAACAATGTTTCATAGAAGAAGATAGATTCTCATCCACAAATGACCTTTAATAAAAGGTTAAACAATCAAAGAATTACTTCAAATTAAACTAAATAGTTCAACCTCAACATATTGTTACAGACTGAAATAGTCATACGTGTTGAAGTTTTAAAATTATACTACTATTATTGTTGTTATGCAACCAAAAAAGTTTGTTTCTGACAGGAAATGAGACGTGGATCTGTCAAAAGATCATAAAATAACATAAACAGGGTTTCGATTTACAAAGAACTAAAATTATGGCTGTGTTTAATTGACGTTTTGTTCAGTTTATCCCCTTCTAGAAAAAAATGACTGAAAACATCTTTATGGGTATTACAGGATATTTTGATGATTTATCACTGATGATCAGATTTGCAGAATCCTTGTTCTCACAGTCTGACATCATAGCAGAACCAGCACTTCCTGTCTCAGCTCAGGGTTACATTTCAGAAGTCACACAGTCCCTACTGTGAAGTATGGAGGCGGCAGCATCATGATGCGGGGATGTTTAACAGAGAGAGATTGATGCACTCTGCAAAATAGAGGCATCATGAGGAATATTGGTGAAAATGATGCAATCATACAAACAACAGGTTCTGGTTCCTTAAATAATGAAATAAGAAAATTAGCAAAAATAAATCCCATCATTGCAAAATTAATTCGGCCAAAGGAAACATTTCCAAATCAGTTTAACACAACATGAAATGTTTGAAACAAATACTTGAATTAAATACAACTGTCAGGTTAGTAACCGTTATATACTCAGCTACCTGCTGAACAGCGTTAAAGCCGTGAAAATAATGAAATATGTCCAGATTTCATGTAGTTCAGTTTATGTTTCCTCATACTGTTCTCACCAAAAACAGAAATACATGCAGACGGTGGAGTTACCCTCCGTCTACTCTATAGTCCACTCTTTGTCCAGCTGCTATAGCATTAGGTATAATTGTAGAAAATGTGGCTGCTTTGTTCTTATGACAAAGAGATTCCTTCGAATCTTCTGGTCCGAAAACACTTTTGTCGACACCAGTCATCCTCAAGGACACAGAAGTCTGGTTCTGATGAGGCAGAGGTTCTGGTTGGATAGAGGGTTAAAGGTGTGAAGGGCAGCGCTGGGTAGAATAGATGAAGGGTCAGAGTTAAACTTTTAGTACTTCTCAATGAATTGAAGTCAATGCACTGTTCTGAAAAAGCAAAGCAGAGAAAGCTTGCATGTGTGTGTGTGTGCATGTGCACCAGGTTCTTATGTCCTTGTGGGGATCTATTTCTGTCTACAATGTTGGGTTGTGGGGACCACTGCTCCTTGTAGGGACATTTTCTTGGTCCCCATGAAGGGAAATGCCGTTTTGGCAATAGAGACTGCGCGTGCACGCGTGCATGTGTGTGTGTGTGTGAGTGAGTGCATGTAGACACTTTAGAGTTAGCGGCTAGGTTTACAGGTATGCTGTGGATTAAAGTTTTGGTTAAGGTTACAAACAAACAAATGTGGATGGTTAGGGGAGGTGTTTGGGTTAGACATCAGTGCAGTTAGTAAAATAAATGGAAGCCAATACAAAGTCCTAATATGGGTAGAAATACGAACTTGTGTGTGTGTGTGTGTGTTTGTATTTGTAGACCACCCACTTAGCAGATTAAAGACTGTTCATACAATCGTCTCCTCTCTCTCTCCTCTTATTCACTCTTTAGTCTGCTTTGGTCAATAAATTAAAGCTCTTAAACACACTGTGCATGTATAAAGTGTGTGTGTGTGTGTGTGTGTGTGTGTGTGTGTGTGCGTGTTCACATGTGTGTGTGCATTCTCGATGAAAAAAGAACCTTTGATAGATCCCAGCTCAAAGGTCCTACACTTTTAAAGCTGGCACCTGGTTTGTTTCGGATTATTAGACTTTATTTTTTGTGGACTGTTTCTGAACACTATAGGAACTATTTGTCGAGCCTCTAACTCTCTGGATCATACTAACATACCGTTTTAAAAATTTTGTCATCATCTGTGACTCAAACGTCCTTTAAATTAGAGTTGGGATCTGGTAACATTTGGTCTTCTTGGATCAACAACAAGCTGAGGCAATAGGTCCATCCAATAACCAAGACTTCATTGTCCTCCATGCAGAATGTCCTATCTTGACTCACTGCACTTTGATTTTATTTGTGAGTGGAGAGCTGGACTGGTCTCTGGTACAGCAATGGACCATCTCAAGTCTAACCTAAAGAGATTGAGATAGAGATTTCTTTGTTTCAATAGATAACTTCTCATCAGAGCAGACAGAAGTCACATATGGGGTACCTCAAGGTTCAAATCTAGGACTCCTCTTATTTAATATCTATAAGCTCCTACTATCTTAGGTTATAACAAGAAATAAGATTAGTTACCATACGCATATGACACACACCTCTACATTATGAATCAATCCAAAATGGAATTTTTCAGCTGAACAGAAACAAAAATTTAATTATCTTTGGTCCTAAAGAGGAACAATCTAGAGACAACGCACATCTTCAGTTGTTACAGCTAGAAACTAGAGATCATGCTGAAATCTGGGTGTATTGATTGACTACAACCTGGACCTTCAGAGACACATAAAGACAGTTACAAAGTCGGCTTTCTATCACTTGAACAACATTTGTAGGATTAAAGGGTTTGATGTCTCAGCAAGATCTAGAGAAACTCATCCATGTGTTTATCTTTAGTCACATTGATTACTGTATGGTTCTGCTCTGTTTACAGAACCAGAACCAAACATGGAGAAGCAGCATTCAGCTTCTATGCACCACAAATCTGGAACAATCTTTCAGAAAACTGCAAAACAACTGAAACACTGAGTTCCTTTAAATCTAGACTACAAATCCATTTGTTTAGAGTTGTCTTTGATCAAGAAGAACTGAAAACAAAATATTTCAGCCTGGATTCCAACCTTCCATTGCCTCTTCTTTTCAAATGATGTTTATTATTATTATTATTGTTCATTATGTTCCATTTTCATCATGTACAGCACTATGAACTGGTTTGCTGCTAAAATCTGCTATACAACTAAAGTTGACTTGGAATTTTGTCAATAATGAAAAAGTTATTGAACTATTGGATGTTAAAATATCCACTGTATGATGAAAAAAAGAAGAAAAGTTGAATTAGGTTGCAGAAGGATAAATTCAAAGCATAAAGACAAAAACACAGTTCAGTTCTTTCCATTTTCTTGATATCATGCAGCCCGGCTTCTGACCAGACTGGAAATAATTACCTACATTATGATTTCAGATTATCTGAGCAAATGGAAGTTGTGTTTGCAAAAGAAAAAGAACAAAAAGGTTTTTAATAAATTGGTGTTAATTAAAATATAGGGTAAAGCCTGGTTGGATCAGCACACATGTGCCAAACAGACCGAGCCTTGTTTTATACCTGAACAGCGGTAGAATGTTTATGTGCAGAACCGAGTGTGGACCTGTGGTCCGCTGTGCAGCTTTAAAACCCGACAGCACAGCAGCAGACATGTCTGCAGGATTCCCTCTGAGGAGACGGGATAGCCCAACAGCTCAGCCGTTAAGGTGCATTCAGGGACAACCTGTACACCGGACCGTGTACAAATCAAACAACTTCAAAGTGACAACAACTTTTTTTAATTCTCAACCAGCAATGCAAACTTATTGAAAAATTCCTAAATGACAACCTTGACCCTCTTCACGTGGTTGTATTACTGCATAACTTATACACAATATCTGCTGATATTCATTAATTAACTGAAAATCTCCAGTCAGTTAATTACAAGCATCTCTTCAAAGCTCTAAAACATAATAAAATATAACTATTTTAGCCAATTTGAAAAATTCTTTCTTCACTCCTGAATAAAAGTTAAACAGAAATTACTTCTTTTGATTATAGTGAGATTAAAACCAAGTCACGTACTAAAGCTAGGTTCCATTTAGGTTCCGTTTATTTTCATAATCAGGCTTACGCAAATGTCCAATTTTGGTAATTTTTCCTAGACAGAAACACGTTGAATATTGTTTACATTGCTGGTGTTGTTGCATCTAAAGAAAAATAACATTTTAATCAAGACTAAAGCTGATGAGCTGAACCAACACATTCAATAAAAGGAGCAAACAGACAATGAATTTAATCCATGTCTGTTATATATTATAAAGTTTTAAATCTATGTTTCAGCTTAAACCTTTACAATACATAAAGGCATGATTAGAGGTTTTACACGTCTAAAAATTAGAATTTTGGCCCAATTTTGTTTTAAAAATGGACTTTATTTTGGCTACACTCAATCTTTCCCTCAACTTACACAAGCTCCTGTCCTCCACCCAGAATGTTGCCGCCACCACTAGGTGTCACTGTAGGAATGGTGTGTTCAGAGTTGCTGTGTGGGGTTAGTTTTGCGTCACACTAAAATGACTTTTCTCCACATCGCCGCTGTAAAATCCAAAAACTATGAATTGGACTTCTTGTGACTTTTTTCCAGATTCCACCACCTGAGCAGTGGATCTCTGCAGCTCATCCAAAGTTAGCACAGGCAGCTCCTGTTGTCCTACATTCTAACTTTACTTTAAACTTCTCCACTTCCTCCCTGGTCTGTTGCTGGCCTACTTGGTCTCCATGGCGCTGCTCTCTGCCTGATGAACCTCTGAGGCCAGAAACACAACAGCTTTATTTACAGTGTTTACAGATTGGATGACCTCTAAAGGCTACTGATAGATTTTATGAAGATGGTGGTGTCGAGATTTTTGTCATGTGTACTAAATTGTCAATAAGTTATAATTCAGATAAACTTAACATCAAAACAAACATGTAATATTTGAATGAAACAGAGTAACGATGTTATCTGGAAAAGGGATCTTGCTTTTACACCTTATTAAAAATGGCTTATAGGTTCCTATAAGTTGGTTTTTAGGGGTCAACTCTTCTAGTTTGGTCAGCAATAAATGCTGATGGCTCAACAACAACAACAATTGGATATGATCTCTCTTTCTTCAAATATACTTGCTGTATAAAGTCACATTTAATAAAATGCTGCTCCCAAGTCTGCATTTTGAGTAAAAGCTGGTGAATGTTTGTGGTTCTTTTTACAATGAATTGAAAATTAAAGGAAAACTCAGAGCTGATATTTCCAAATATTTTCTATCTGAAATAAAAATAAAAAATCTTCCTCGAAAACATTAAAAGGTTTCCATCGGCATCATTCGATCGCATTTGGGATTAACAAAAACCATTGAAAGGGCCAGAAATGCCCCCTAGGCCACTCTTTGAACAATTTGATTTATTGGGTTTCGGATAAAAAGAGGTTTTTTGAGTATTATTATTATTATTAAATTGATTTTAAAAACCATTGTACACAAAATCATGGAACGTTCCATTAAAACATATTCCAGGTTGACAAAATGTGAAACATAAACAATTCAGAGTGGAATATAAAACTAAACTACTTCAAAAGAGGGAAGCCCAGTTATAGCCACAGCAGATCACCTACGGTGTCAGCGTAATGGCGTTTGAAGGAGCACAGCGCCCCTACATGGACAAACTACTGCATTGCAGATCTGATGAGTTACAGTCAGATTGCCGTTGAAAACACGTCGGAATTTACCTCTGTACATATCCACCAGCGAGTCCCTGAGTTCCTTCTTGGAGGTCCATGATGGAGAACTGATGACGTTTGGATCCTCCAAACTCTTTTCTCTGAAAAACAAACAAAAAAACAGAAAACACATTAGATTCACAATCACAATTCCAACACTTGTGTGTGATATACATTTTAAAACAGTACAAAACGTGTCACATGTTCATTTGTAAAAAAAAATTTGAGACATCAAACATACCTGTAAGTAAAATATTTCCACAGCTATGATTTCAGAAATGGTCCAGTCAGAAGCTTAAAGCGCCTGACTGCTTGATGGTCCACATCATCCTCTATCACCTCCTCCAACTACATCAAACTACTCACAATATTCTCATGTTTGGCACACGGACTGAAAAGCAGCAAAGCAATATGAGCAAACATTGACTTCCTGTCTCCTTAAAGCAACCAAGCATGGAGACTGGACCCGGTGTGGAACAAACACAGACAGGTCAGACCAGTTCACCTTCCAGTAAGACTGGTCACACTGCCGGATGAATCAGTTCACTACGCTGGTCCCCAGCTATGCCATACACGTGATGACATTAGGTCACATGGACCCAGATACTTCCTGGATGTTGACTCTGTATCTCAGTAACTTAGTATTCTGTTAGCATATGGATCTCAGTCCAGGCCAGATTTTCCAATCCCTCTGGCTAAAGAAAAGAACCAAAAAATCTAAAACATTTCAGTCTTCAGTCATGTATGTAAATGGCATAATGCATAATTGCTTTATTACATATTAAAACAAAATGCTGAAGTTCTTGGCCATTACATTACTGATGTCTAAACATCATCAGTGATGACTTCCTGTCATCCTTCAGTTTTTGGTCACCAGCAGTATATTATTCTGCGTTTGCTGCCAACAGATGAACCACAGAGAACACACCAGACAGAGTTTGGTTCTTACTCCAGCTGCTGCTGCAGATCACAGATCTTCTTCTTGGCTTTCTGCAAAGCAACCTGAACATCCACAGATCTGCTGCTGTAACTGCTAGACGCCATTACATGAAACAGACTTCTCCATGACAACCACCCTCTGCCCCCCCACACACAAAACATCACAAAATACCACTTCCAGGTCACATAGAAAGAAGCTGGGTTGGGATTGGCTGAGAGCCGGTCCTGCTCCACTTTCAGGCTAAATATTAATGAGCTCACTGGATCGGAGCCATGTGACTCAGGTGTCATGTTCAGACACATTTCTCATCTTGTTTGACAAATTGGTGAAGGTTTGCCTGGAGTTTTGTCTGCCCAAAACATGAAGACTGGTTTAAGTAAAACATGACAATGTCTTGGTTTCTAAACAGTTTCTTCAGGAGATACAAGGTTTACTGGAAAGCTGTGGCATTCTCTGTACAACTCTTCCACATTATCTTTTGATGAAGGGACTCTATTGATGTATTGGTCAACCGTTTGTTGCCCAAAGAGCTCTGTACTGTGGGATCTGACACCAAGTTATTAACAGCTTGTTTGAATTGAACCCTCCACAGATCAGACTTGTTTGTCCGGAACATCCCAGAGATGCTGGTGTGGATTGGGAAGTGGGGAATTTGGATTATACATCAAAATCTCAAGCTCTTTGATGAGCTCCCTTAAACATTCTTGAAGCATTTTTAGTTTGCTGCAGGCAGCGTTGTCCTGCTATAAGAGACTGTAGCCTTTAGGAAAGACCGTTTCTACGAATGGGCACACATGGATTGTAGTAATACCTTGGTTTTAAGAACCATCAACATGGACAGTAGGACTCAAGGATTTCTAGCAGAACAACATCCATTCCATCACTGGTTACGCCCTCTAGTCTTTTCCCCATACTGCATCCTACCGTCTTTTGTTCTGGGTAAGTGATGAACTCCCTGGGGAAAACTTGATTTATCAGTTGTCCACTTCTGATGCCCATGTGTTGGTTGTTGCAGCGGTGGGAGTGTTCTGCATGAGCACCGTAGCTGGTCTGGCTATGTAGACCAGTGTTTTCTAAAACTTGTCAACATTTTTAACTACAGTAGATGGTTTCTAGGATCAGAACACACAGGCCAGCCTTTGCCAACTAAATGAATCTTGATGGCCGATGTCCACGTTCACCTCTCTTCCTTACTTGGACCAGTTTTCATAAATACCACTCCAGACTGGGAACATCCTGTTCCTTACAAGGGTTTGGTCACAATTTCACCCAAAACCCTCATTCCTTCAACAAACGATGCTTATATTCTGCCTTGGTTAAAATCTCTCATCTTAAAGACAAGGATATTTCACTTGGTTAAAGATCCACCCTGTCCTCATGACTGGATATTTGTTGTATGAGCTAAGATGAGAACAACTCCACAGGAGGAAATATGTCCAAATAACAAAATTAGGCAAACACAAGCTGACAGACAGAAGACAACCAATGAATTATTGGGAAGTTGTTTTTATTGATAATTAAAATAGACATTAGCTCAAATAACTAAAACACAAAAGATTCTCATCACATGTTTTTCTTCTCAATATCTTGAAGCAGTTTGTCCAGCAATGCAGCATCCACTCCGTGTTTCATCAAATATTGACCATTCAGGTGGAACACTGGGATGTCCCACTTGTACTTGTCCCACCACTGCCTGTTTTCTGGGAGACTGATGTCCACCTGCTGCAGGATAAACTACATGAAGCACAGAGAGACGGACAGGTCATCAACAGAAACCAAGGGTGGAAATAATTACAGTAGAGGTGACCGATTATTACATGGCTTTTACGATGGTCAAACAAAAGAAAAGCTATGGCTACCATGTGATAATGGGGATGAGATTAACTTTGAAAATCTTAAAACTTATCCACAGACCTTTGCTGTTTGAACTATATGGTTTGGAGGTCTGCAGTCATCAACTCTGTAGGAAGTTGGTGACGTCAGTATCCTCCATCTCTGGGATTTTACATGGTTGACCACTACGATTCCTTCCTCGGCCCTCAAGGAATCATAATCTTAAATGGGAATAATTGCAAATTTTCTGTATTGAACTGAAGCTGCAAAATAAATTGAACTGTGGTATATTTACTCAAGGTTATCATACATCCCATGTAGAGATCGACCGATCTGATAATAATGTCTATATCCATCCTGATATTTTAAAAAATTCTAGATGGGGCATCGGTGACAATGTGTGCAATCCATAAGAACAGATCTATTCAGTCTAATTCTATGCTTTGTAGTCTGAACAACATCAAGCTTTATTATTTTTTACATTATAAGAAGGAAGCAAAGGTTTGTTGACGTTTATTTTTACATGTCTGACCAAGGTAGTCAACCTGTTGGTTAGTGAGTTTCAGTTTCTTTATCATTTATTTTTCATTGGCTGTTCTACTCCTAACTGCACTGACTGAACCAATGAAAGTTGTTTTCACATGATTGACCAATTTTGTGAAGTTTTTTGTGTATTAAAGTGTGATGTACTGGTACATTGTTGGTAAATAAATTTGTAATTCAGTACATTTAAGACCTGTGTTTTAAAAAGCATGTTTTAAGTCAATTCATCTTGGTTCTTCTGTATCAAATTGGTATCAGCCGATGCTGAACCTCATATCTCTATGGGAAGTGAAAAAAAGTGGATTGGTGCTTCCCTACTCCCATGTCTACTGTGGCCTGGCCACTGAAACAGATTTGAGAGAAAACCAAATGTAGGTTGAGGAACATCAGAAATTAACTAGAAGTTGGTAGAAGAATTAAATTCTCACCCTGTGTTTGAATGGCTGCAGCAGCTCTTTAGCTTCATCACACAGTGGACATGGATCCTGCAGAGAGAAAAATCAGTTTGAATTTATTCCTGTTTATAGGTCATCTCACTGTACATAAATACTAACAAGATGTATATATTTAACACCACTGAAGTAACAAACTAAATATTAGAGATGCACCGATCAGGGATTTTCTCAACCTCAAGTTTTTATAAAGATTGAACCAATTTTAGCTTGTCCGGTTTCTATAGTTAATCTAAATATTATTTATTTTATGTAAGCAGCCGAGGTGATTGTAAAACAGGGTCTTATGTAAAAAAATATATATATATAAAAAATATAAAATGATTTATATTTCACATTTACACTGTCTGAGGGGGCCATTACTAACTGCAAACATCAGTCTCTGTGTCAATTAAAAAAAGATGTAGATCCTTACCTTGGCTAAAAGATTTCCAAAAAGCTGCCAACAGAAGAATCAAACAGAGTACCTTTGCTCCAATACATTCAGCCTCCCCTGGTTTCTATGGATATCAAATCACTCCTCCAATTCAACGAAAGCATACAAAGAGCTGTCTTGAGGTGGGAGGCCCAAATGTCAGGTAAGAATCGACCAAAACCGCAAAAGTTTCAAAAAGGTAGAGGAGCAAATTGACCAGTGTCAGTTCCAGTTATTGCTCTAACGGACCTGTTCTTCCTCTGCCTTGGTTTTAAAACACCAGAGTCAAACTTTCGGCTTTCGTCCCTCAATAACACCTTCCACATAGAAGAGTAGTGAGAGCAGCTCGACCCGGCAGGTTGGCTCAGGTATGGCGTCTTCTCTGATTGGAAAAAAATAATCATATTTTTGAGTTTCCAACCAAACTTTCACCAATCAGTTTGGTGAAAGTGGGCAAAAATAAATAAATAATAAAAAAAATCTTCCGATTCCAGTCGGTAGCCAATGTCACGGTGCATCTCTAATAGAAATGTTGCTTTCTATTATGAATGGAAAAAAATACCCTCACTCTGTGGGGTGAAATGAGGCATGTTGGGTTTTGTGACAGTGTTACCTTTGTGAACAGAGTGAGAGTAGGTAAAGATCTGGATGAAAACATCCTGCAGAGCTGCAGAGCAGGACGGCCACACAATGTCCTGTGCATAGACATCCTGTCTGAGAACAGAGATGTTAAAGGGGTTAATTCCAGGCAGGAGGCAATGCTCTTGAATTTTTACACACTGAACCAAGCTTCCTACGAGACCTGAATGAACATTACATTTGCAGAAAGTTTCTAGTGAGATTTTTGGGTCATTGTTCTATTGAGGAACACATGGCTGCCATGTTTCAAACACTTCAGGATTTATTTGAGGTGCTATGAGTGAAGTTCATCCTGCTATAGCAGGATGAACTTCACTCATAGCAGAATGTTTGGCAGCTGGCGCAGGTTCACCATGATTCCTCCAAACATACAGTTTAGCAATGTGGGGCAGTGGGGGAACACTCAATCTTTCTGTAATTGGGGCATTAATCTTTTTAGACATTTGTCTTGGCCAGAGGTCTAATCCATCAGTGGACCTACTGGGCTTTTGCCCAGTACATCCACTGGGCTTTCACAGTTCCCAGGTAGTTCCTAAACAGCCTAACCAGTACTGTTTTATTTGAGGTGACTGGCGTCTTCTAGATCTTGGCAAAGTGGTGATACATCCTATAGTTTTGAATATCCATCACCCACAATCACTTCTAGTCATATTTTTCCACATATCCAGGATCAGGTTCAGGGATAACGGGTCCAGGAGGAAAAGACAACATCCCTGTCAACAACAACACTCTCCGTCAACAACAACACTCTCCGTCAACAACAACACTCTCCAGTTCATTCTTGGGGCCAATGCAAAGAAGCAGCAGCTCAACTCTGAGCTCTAGTGTCCTAAGGTGTCTGGCACCTCTACAGATGAACCTCCTTTCAGGCACTAACATCCAGGATCTTGTTTACTGTACATGAGAGTGGGAACATAAATAGACTGGAAAATCAAAAGTTTCACTTTTTGGTCAGCCATTCCCTCATACAAACAAACCAGAACAAAACCTGGATTATTGCAGACCGAGACAGAAACCATCAGTTCATCTCCCACTTCAATCTACTGTCACTCAAGAGCAAGAAAACAAGATACTTAAACTCCTCCACCAGAGGGAGCAGTCCACCTTTATCCAGTCAAGAACCATGGCTTCAAACTTAGAGCAGCTCCAGTGTACACCGAAGGTCATGGTCTGAAAACGGCAACAGAAACACACCATGTGCAGAAAACAGAGACGAAACCCTGATGTTCTCACACCAGACACTCTCCTCTCTACAGTTCCGCCTTGAGATCCTGTCCATGAACCCCCAGGAGACAAGGGACACACAGACACACACACACACACACACACACACACACACACACACACACACCCGGAGGAGTCCATCACACACCGGGAGCAAGTTTGACTACCTGTTGAGAATACAGCACAACTCTTGCTTTGGTTTATACAAGGAGAAGTTAGCCTAGGTCCAGGCTCTGTCAGGTTAAAGAACATTCTGGAATCTTCAGTTCTAGTTATTTATGTGGACTGGAGAAAAATCCAGTAAGAAAGACTGTATTAAGTATGATAAATGCTCTACACACACCCACACACTTTCTGGTGACACCAGTCAGATTAAATTACCATATTACAGTATATTGTTGTCCCAGTAATTTAAAAAAAAAAATCTAAAATCAAACAAATACATATAGTGTCAAAAAGTCTTAGTCAAAGTTCCAGATGAAGTGTAACATTTACTGAAAAAAAATATATAAAAGACGTTATATTCTTTGAGTAACGCTGCATTGACAAACAGCTCAGTCCTTTGAATTCATGAACAGATATTCTAACCGGTCATGTTTAGGAGGGGTGGCCCGATGTGACAGGCAGTAGCATGAAGTTTGTTGATGATTATCAACAAAGGAGGAGATCACTTATTGATCCTCATTTACACTCCAATGCACCAGCACAGTATTCTGGAATTAGCCATGCATGTGCTGTCAACAGGCCGGCCAGCTCTGACACACATCCCATGTCCAACATCATTAAACTGCGAGTGGAATTCAGATCAAGAAGAGGAAAAATTAATGAATTCAAACAATGTTGAATGGAATTGTGATTTCTTTAAGCCTGCTTTGTGTTGTCAGGCAATTAATTGCCGCCAATTGCTGCAGCAATTTATCTGCCACAACAATTAGTGTGGCAGATAAATTGAACCATGTTAAAATGTGATTAGTCACATTTCATTATTGATTTTAAATTATATTCCACATAGGATCAAGTTGGTTTGGATAGCGTTTTTACGTAATACATACAACTTTAGATTTACTAACTTAGTTCTGATATAACAGTTTAATTGCTAATATGATAAAAGTGAGACGAAAAAAAATTGCTGTTTTACTTATTTGCATTATTGTCGTCAGCTTTATTTGGTCTGTATTTTTGGTTGAGTTTGGACCCAGGCAGCAGATGAACGTCTGGAATTCCTTCCAACCAGCTCTGTGGTTGGAATGATTCCTGCCCACCAGCAGCTGCAACAGCAATGAGAGTCTAAAAAGTCCGTTAACTGCAGATTCGTTCGCAGAATTAGGCTTGTGTTAACGTCGTTTGTGTTTTTCTGCCACATATTGAAGCAGCTGACTGAGCGCCTTCCAGCAGGAGCGATTTCAGAACTGTTGTAGTTTAACGGACTGAAATTCACCTGGAGGTTTGTTTCAGTCACGGTGCTTAAAGCAACAGTTTCAGGATGGAGACAGACTGGAACAGCTGTCGCGAAATGCGACCTTCTCTGTCCGGTTTTACACACTAATTGCTGGGTCAGGAAAGTCACCGGAGTCAGCTGCGCCTCTTTTGGAGCCACAATGGCTGCAGGACTCTGCTCTACTCGGGTCCACAGCTCACAGTCAGAGGAGCCTGCCCGGTGGAACAACAACAGCAGCGGCGGCTGGAAAGCTTTTACCTGCTTAGTGAGGTCCTTCCTCTGCTCCCTGTCTGCTGCCAGCGGTGTTTGGAAACGTGATATACCAACAACCCATGCACGGCCACATGGAGAAGAAGAAGAAAAGCAGAACGAGTGTCCCACAGTGAACGACGGGCTCCCTCTGCTGGCCTTAAAAAGCACAATATGAGCGAGGAATTAACCGGTGGGTCATTTTAATTGAAATTGTGGACTTTATTTTCACTCGTGGAGTATTTTCAAGAAATAATTAGACAAAATGACTTTTTTAGGGAGCAGCCAGGTCATTTGTTATATTCTATGCTTTTTTTTTACTCTACTGGCCAGGAATGTTGGCTATGAGAGGGGAAAGGTCAATAGGTTGTGATTCAAGCCTATGACAGCTGCTTCAAGGACTGAGGCCTCAGGACAGGGGTCGTGAGCTTTGCGCCTGTGTCACCGCCGCGCCACATATTCCACAATTTTAAGTGTAAAAAAAAAAGACATTGTTTCTCAGAAAATGTTCATCTGTGATGAAATTATCTCAACTTATGTTAGGGGTAAATAATGAGTGACCTTACATACTAAGAAAATGGGAAGACATGCGGGAAATGATCTAATATTGGGAATAGAATCAAATCAAATCAAATTTTATTCGTATAGCACATTTCAGCAGCAAGGCATTTCAAAGTGCTTTACATAATTCAAATAAAAACAGCATGTGAGAAAGAGTTAAAAAAAATCATTAAAACGCAAACAGTGAGAAAGAGCAGTAAAAAGAAAAGATAAAAACATCAAATACATTGAAGACATCAAAACCCACTCTCTAATCCTAATTTAACCATAAGCAACTCTAAACAGGTGGGTTTTAAGTTGAGATTTAAAGGCACCCAGTGTTTCAGCTGTTTTACAGTTTTCTGGAAGTTTGTTCCAAATCCGTGGTGCATAGAAACTGAATGCTGCTTCTCCTCGTTTGGTTCTGGTTCTGGGGATGCAAAGCAGACCAGAACCAGAAGATCTCAGGGGTCTAGACGGTTGGTACAGCAATAACAGATCTTTAATGTATTGTGGTGCTAAACCGTTCAGTGATTTATAAACTAACAACAGAATCCAGGACACCTGCCTCGATTACTACGGTCTTTGCAAAATCATCCCTTTAATCTGAATTTTTCTTCCATGTGCAGCCAGGTGCTTTGTTATATTCTACAAAGAACCTTGTAGGACGTAACAAGGTGCTGTCTGTCAGGACACCGGCCATTGAGGACTGGAGATGGACACCCAGGATTTCCAAGGTTCCCATCAACTCTGACCATATTCTCTGTTTCTACCATCTGCTTTATCTATTGTTAACATTAACTATAATTCTGTGTTTCTTTATTTTCCAGTAAAGCACTTCTGAATTAGCATGTACCAATGATGCTACATGTATAAACTTGCTTTGCCTTACTGAGGACAACATTCCTTCAACATCATGTCATCCCCTCCGTCTTTCACCACTGGGATAGTGTTACGGTTAGGAACAGAGAAATGTTCCTGACACTCTATATATATATAATGTCACATTCAACAGATTCTAGACTTTGTGTTTTACTCTAAGTGGTGAGAAAAAAACAAAAATCCTTTTGTCCAAGACATTTCATATTTCATGAGAACTCAAAGGCAGAACTCCCGGAACGTTGTCATAGATCCCTCTTACTTTAACATTTGTATACAATAGTTGTTGGACACTGAGCAAGAGAATCTTCTGCCCAGAATATGTCTAAAGCAAAAACTGGAACAATTCCCAAACCAGAGCCCCCTGCACTCCACACCCATCCATTTTCTTTGCACCCTTGTCCCTCAGTGGGGTTGGGAGGGGTGCTGGTGCCTATCTCCAGCTAACGTTCCAGGCAAGAGGCGGAGTACACCCTGGACAGGTCTCCAGGCAACACAGAGACAGACAGGACAAACAACCATGCACACACACTCACACCTAGGGGCAATTTAGAGAGAAAGACTGGGGCTGGGAATTGAACCCAGAACCTGCTTGCTGCAAGGCAACAGCTGCCACAACAACTGCGCCACTGTGCAGCCCACTCCACATCCAGTGTTTTGCATTTATGTTGATTCTTCTAACATCCATTCCCTCACTTTCTGCATTATTTATCACTTATTACCAGTGACTCAACATTTCAACATATGTTGTGCTGTGTATAAGACCAGAGAAATGCTTGTAAATACTTCACTTATTACAGTTAGCAGACATAGACTTTTTTATTACCCTGATTTATCCCTAGATAAACTGGGTCTTTCCATTGAAACACAGTTGTGTTCAAAATAATGAGTACATTTTAAACCTTTTTAAACCTCTTAGAGCATTATTTATTCCCTTTGGGAACGCTGACCAGTTTACTCCAAATTGAAATATCAGGAAAACATTTATTAGATAAACCAAAAGAAAAAAAGGAAAAGAAAACATTAAACTGCTCAAATAGTTCACCAGACAAACTCAGCATTTCTCTTCACAAATATTTTCTGTATGGATGTAAAATGTTTAAAAATGTAGATTTTTGTGTGAATCACTGAACAAATATCCATTTATCCATTGTTCCTGAGAAAAGCATCCGCGGTGCACAGAGCTGACCCACTTCTGACACCAGTCAGCAGGTATTGAGCAGGTTCCCCAACTCTGGTCCTGAAGGCACACTGCCCTGCATGTTTCAGGTCAGAGACAGTCCTGTACACTTGAGTTAAATGGTGAAACTGCGTCTTGAGCAGTTTCTACAGAGCTCTGCTAATGTAAGCTGAAGCAGAGGAAACATCTAAAAGTTGCAGGACACCGGCTCGAGAAAGATTTGAGACAAGTGCTTTTGACATTTCTCTGCTTCTATACACCAGATTAAGATGATTACTGTTCATCAAATGCCTGTTAATAAGTCATCAATTGAAGTCAGGTGTGCTGAAGCAGGAAAACACCTAAAACATGCAGGGCGGTACGCCTGGAGGATCCAGGCTGGAACTATATACAGCCCCTCTAAATTTTTAAAGGTTCAAGGATTGGGGTAGTTGCTCAGTAATTATCCATGATTCCTGGTATGTGATTCTTATGCCTGATACCAAAGAATGAGTAATGTCCCCATGTCAGGATGCATGACGGTGTACTGTGGCTTAAATTCAGGGTTTTGGGGCCGTCCAACACTTTGCAGGAGCTTGAGCCCAGTAGAAGATGTCACTCCATTTCTCTTTAGGCCAGTTAGTGTGTTTGGCAAATGTAACATCTTTAGCACATCTTTTTTTCAGCAATGAAACTTTGTGAAGTTCTTATCCACAGTTAGAGTTTACACAACCTTTTCTAATCATCAACACAGTTTAATGTTAGTTGTTTTTTATTTTGGTACTTTGATCCAA